GTAACGGGGTAAGTCCGTTTAATAATATTAACAATTTGTATGAAGTGTCAAAAAATGTCTTCATGAATTAAAAATATTGACAATATTACCTTTTCCTATAACGTTGTTTTTGCATCTCCTTGAAGTTGAAGATGCCCTCGAATTGGTTGATATAGGCCGTCATACTAACTCACGCGCTAACCAATGACCGATGGACGCGCGCAATGAATGGAGGACACAAAGGTAACATACATAGTAATAGCAAATACAAAATTATATAGATTCACATATATTATATAGCTTAACAATATTGAGAACAGTTCTTTTTTTCTTTTCAACCCCTCTGCTAATAAGAATTTCTCTGTCACGTGTACGTGAAGTTATGAGGTACATACGTTCACTGTCATCAGTGAAGGTAGATGATACTCTGAGAGTGTAATTAGAGGGTTCCCCATTACAGGCCTAAAGTCTTTGGCAGGTAGTCTTTAGAAGTGCGAAAATTCATCGGGCGCGAGGCATTAACTCATAAGCTCAGTGAACTTGTAACGGCGCTAGAACGACCGTTACTAGATTACAGGCGCGTTTGAGGAAGACTTAAGCTCAATTAATAAGGATTGAGAAAATTTCACTATAAAATTTTAAAATGTTTTGATATGTACTATTATCGAGAATTTTCAAGTCGTAATATAGACGACCGTATTCCCGCATTTAGAAAACCACACATTTTCAGGTTAATTTATCATTGGTCCATATTGGGTCTTTAGGCCCCAAAAACTAAACAATGATAAATTTCTACGCTGTGCCCGTTATACGGGTACAGCACCTGCCTACAAATGTAAATAATTATTTCTGTTTGTTTAATCGTGTGATGTAGCCCATTAAAGGCCCATCCTTTGACAGCGATTGCCCTTTGCAATCGCTTGTGTCCTGGAGAACGATATCGCTCGCTCTCTACATAGGAGTGGTCCATTGGCTCTGGACCTTCGCCCTCCTGTCGCCTTGAAGGACGATAGGCTCCTAGCGAACATTCGCCTGTTCCAGGCTGAACTAATTCTGTTTTGCTGCAGAGTTAGCTTGCTCAAGCCATTTCTAAGTTAAAAGGGGGCAGGTAGGTCTTGACGAGACCATCCGCAAGACCCTTAATGTGCACAGCGACCTAAATTCGTTCGTCTTTTGGGTTTAGCACGATACAATTGACAAACTTGAATGTGTTCATCTATTGGGTTCAGCACCATACGATTGACGAAGTATCGTGCGTGCTAGTAGTAAGCATGTTTATCACGCTTACTTATTCCAAATTCAGCTTAAGCCCTGAATTCGGCACGAAGCGGTAAAAAAGTCTGTTTGGGCCGCGCCTTATAGCGTTCATACGCTGAAATGTGATGAATTTTTGAATCTTGAGCCCTAATGCCCAAGCTTTAGCACGTCCAGCCAAGTTCGACATGGCGTACTTGAACCTTCTTTGCATCGTCGAATTTGACAACCATCTCAACAAAGAGTCACCTTTGACTGCCTTGTACTTGGAGACGCCAATTCGCTTTGTAAGTCCGAATTGCTGGCCTTGTTATATCATAATGTTTTGAGCCTGACTGGCCTTTAAAACGGACTGAACGAGTCCAGCAAGTTCCCTCGCTTGAGACTCCGAGACACGAGTGTGAACTAAATGAGCTGTTCTAGCGGTGGAGATTTCATGGCTGTGCTCGTTGTGAGTATTATTAAGGATAAGGATTGTCTATAATGGAGTAGGAGAATGTTATTGTGAAAGTTTTTTTCCTTGATATTAACTTGACATTGATGCGTAGCTTTACCTTACGCTTCTCGTCCAACACCTGAAAAGGGCAGTCAATAAGTGCACTACCTTTCGCCTTCCGAACCCTTGTTTTTTTCGACATGTCCATGACAGTTTCGGTCTACGCCTCCACGATCGCATTTGTAGCGAGTAATTGTTGCACATGCTTGTTCATATCCGATACGCAGTCACTTCGTGCCTCGTTCTTGTAACTTATCATCTTCATAATATATGTCGTCCCTTGATATATACACTGGTAATAATGCTTAAGATGATCCACTTTGACGGATGAAATGGCACCACTGCTGTCTCCTGAGATGGTCCAGCAATCATGTCTCGACTTGATCTTGTTACAATATATACTGAAGCTTCCTCGTTAACCACTGGATCATCTTCGATCATAATCACATCATAAATTTTGAATAGAGGGTATGTGCCTTACGACTCTTCTATCCTATGTGTAGAATTGATGCTTAATATTAGTCGATCTTTTGACGTCGTCGTTACATCTTGCATGTGAATATCTTGACGACTTTTGAAATCATCCACCTTCATTTCATCGATCCTCCTTGACATTTATTGATTAACGGATATAACATCATCATTACAACTTGTGCGAAGACCTTGATCACTTGATCTGTTACAAAGTTGCACGTACTGAAGTGGCGATCGCTCATCGAGATTCGCTGATCTCGTGTAGATTAATCTTTTTTCTTCTTCATCCCATACTAAAAACAATTATATTTGTTCATAATAACCAAGGAACAGACATCGAAAAGTCTTTTTGTTCAATTTGGTCGATTTTAAATTTATCCACATGTGCATAGCCCTTCGTACCAAAAACGCACATAGCCATTGGATCAGGTTTTCGTCCTTTGATCGCTTCATGTGGAGTCACATTATTGTGACTGGCGCATGGAGCTCGATAAGTTACATAGACTGCCGTGTTAATTGCCTCGCGCAACCCAATCTTGTCCATTTGCATGTGACTGAGCATTTCCCTTGCTCGCTCCATAAGTGTTCGATCCATGCGCTCAGCTAGCTTATTCTATTGTGAAGAATATAGTATCGTCGTTTGATACACAGTTCCAGACCTTTGACAAATTCCAGAAATCCGTCTGTTTACATATTCTGATCCATTGTCTCTTCTGATGCACTTGATTTCTTTAATGTAATGGGGCAACCTATTACATTAGTTGTTTTAAGAATAATACATTATTACATAGATTGGCATATGGTAGTATTCGATTAGCGGATACTGCGCGTCATTCTATTATTGGTTTATTATTGGGGTGCCAGACCCAATAATTAGCCAATAACAAATTGACTTCCATATTGAGTGGTTCCCATGAGCTAGGAAACATATTTGCACTTATGCGAATTAAAATAAAACAAAAATAAAATAGAGTTTTACATACGAGTTAATTAGTAGCGTTTCCTCAACGCCCGTTTAGTGTAACGGTAACGGGTCCTTGGCCCGTTATATTTGACAGTTGAATCTCCATCAGTGCCTTGTATTCGACGAAACGTTCCAGCCCTTCATACTTGTTCGTGATACAGTATACGAATATATATCTAGAGAAAGTACCCACATATGTCACGACGAATCTTGATAATCCTTGGGACTTTGTATCCATAAGTTCCATAACGTCACTATGGGCGATCTCCAATGCTTCTTTAGTATTCACTTGCCCGTGGGTTATCTTTTGAAAACGTTTTGACGGTTGACCTACCCATCATGCATCCTTCGCATATGTCTCCGTCCATGTCATTGTTCGGAGTCTTCTTGATTTTCAATCCGTCGACGCAACTCCCCATGCTCTCGATGACCCTTTTGGGCAGATGAAACCAATCGTGCATGACATACCCTTTTTTTATATGCTCCTGCTCCACTGCTTGAGCTAAGGTCTTGTCCAGTCTCTTTGCACGAATTTACTGACTCATCCGAACTGCATTCCAAGGCGTACATCTTGTTGCTTATTGGTACTTGTACGATTGCTACTGTGTCGCTCCTAGTTTGACGACTCACATTTGAGAAGATCACTTGCAGACCTTTCTTTGATAGTGCCGATATCGATAATAACGTTTGGTCTAATTCCGGTACTAAAAGTGTCTCTTCGATTCTAATAACTTCTCCTGTTTGAAGATTCACGCGCACTTTCCCGACTCCTTTCGCCACCACCTTGTTTTCATCTGCAATGGTGATCTCTAATAGGGGTTTCAATGAGTTTGTATTTGAGAACTCATCTCTATTGGGACACATGTGGCCTGCTAGCCCCAATGTCTAATAACCATCCAAATGTCGTCCGACCCGACGCAGTAAATGCCTTTTCTTTTCCAGATTATTTTTCCACTTGATAAGCATTGCAGTCGTGACGCTTGTGACTATTAATAACATAGGAATCATTTCCCGACAAACTTGCAATCTCTTGAAGTGGCACTTGATCTTTCGGTAAATCGCCGAGGTCCACTCTTGTGTTTCGATATGCCCATTATCGTTAATGCAACTTCAAGGTGCTCCGTCCTCACCATTTCATCGTACTCCCGTCTCAGCATTTGCTTGACTTGTCACAGTGTCATTCCGGGCACGTTCTCGACAATCTTGACAATCTAGTCATAGTCTCTCGTTAGACTACGGTATTACTAACTAACAATGATATGGTGTTCATCGTTACACACAATCCCGTGTGTCGTCTCTGTCATATGATGAATGGATATAGAGCAGAGTCTATATTAACAACAACAACTTGTTGTCCATCTCGTTGCTTGTATGAGGACTTGGTGACATTTCCATAGCCATTTGCGGCGGCTTCCGTATTCGTATGTTCTTTCATGATCTTCCGTGGGGTGAATTAATTGTATTCCTGCTGCTCCATGTCCATGAATGCTGTTAGTGCTAAATATACAAATGGGCAATAAAACTATGCAGCTCAGTGAAACATGTATAACGCTAGCTAGACTTTAATATCGACCAATAATAATTATTAACATCATATTCAAAAAATATATTCTGTGAGCTGTAATTGGCTGGGTCATTCCTCTGTGGTCTTAGTAGTTTTGTTTGTGGCCGTATTATCTAAGCCTGTGCCTAGTATGAATGTCTGTGGCCATACTGTTTTCCATATTTGAGCTGATTCTATTTCATAATATTGACAACTAATTTACACAATATACCAATAATATTTTTGAACATAATATACACTTTATCAATAATATTTTTGACAAGACGTCGATGGCGTCCTGGGTGGCGTTGGACGTATGTGGCGGTGACGTCAGAGACAACAGATTGGCACAGCAGCGAGCTACAGAAGAAGCGCAGGATGCAAACAATGTAGTACTGTACGAGCAGGCACTGCGCTGCCAGCAGCGTCAGCAGAGCCTTCAGGCCAAGACCGGGTACTTGCAGTTACTTAAGGGCGACTTCAGACTCAGTCTACGTCTGCAATATTTGTGTTATAAAAACCTCGCGACAATGACATTCGAGGCGCAATCATTTGAAGACGCTCTGGAATACTTTGCTTCGGCATTGGCACTGGATGCAACGGACGTGGTCGTGTGGTATCAGATGGCCACGACGGCCGTGGAGACTGGTAAATTATGGCTGGCACGAAGACTATTGGAAGAAGGTTTAAAAGTAGACGCTAAGTACTGGCCACTGGTGGAGACGCTGGCTCTGGTGCTGCACCAAGTGGGAGACAAAGACGCGTATGAACATGTAGCCAAGTATCTTGGAGATCAAGACCCTCAGTGCACGTCGGTGCACCTTATTGACAAGATGACGACATTGTCAAAAATGAGGCTGCGGTCAAAAATGAAGCCATTGTCAGGAACGAAGAGGTCGTGTAACAGGAGGCCGGTGTTAAAAACAATGAGAGAGGAAAAGCTGCTGAAGCGAGCGAGAAAGAGATTGCGACATTTTCAAGAAATTGAAGAGAGAGAAAAAAAACGACGAAAGCAAATGCAGAAGGAAAAAGAAGACGAGAGCAAAAGCAGATGGCGAGTTAGGAGATATATTTTACTGCAGGCTTCGTGGACGGAATTGGGCAAATTGTTGTTGGAAGCTTTTGAAGATATAAATAGAGATGACGAAGTTGATGTGATGCGGACGCAGGTGCAGATTCAAGTAGGATATGACGAAGAGACAGAGACTAGAGAAAAGAGAGAGGACGAGAAGGTGGAAGTGGACCAGACGAGCGACCATTTGCCGCCAATAAAGATAGAGAAGGTAAAGGAGCTGCTGAAGCTCTCTCCTGACCTTGAGACAGTGCTGATGAATGGCATTTCGGATAACGACACACAGGACAGTAGCAGTCATGCACGAGAAGAGATGAAGAGTCAGCCGAGAAGACGAAAGTCACGTCGGCACGAGGAACGACTGAGAGAAGAGCATGCTGCAGCAGTCAAGAAAGCGCGAGAGCAGGACTTGGCATACCAATTGGGAGCTTTTCTTCCAATGAATGCTGGTAATGAAAACATGAAGACGACGCTGACATTAGTCTCCATGGAATGGCCGCCGCCGTTAAATGTTGAGCTCACAGACGATGAATTCAGCATCTCGAATGAAAGTAATGAGATCTTATTAAAAACAGCGTCGTTTCCGTTTGTGACGGCCACAGATGTATCTACGAGTATCACAGAGCCATCATCTTCACAGCTTCTATCAAGTGATCAGGCTGTGCACGTGATGGCACCTCGAGCAGAATGCGTGACGAAAAGACAGATTTCGTCTTTTATCAGTGAACGTGGTGGTGATGGTGGGATAATGGACTGGATACGGCTTTACCTCAACCAATGTGGTCACTGGTCGAACTTAAAACTAGGAAGCGAGGCTGAAGCGATTCACAAAGTGTGCATGTGGCTGGAAAAAACGTTAAACGGAGACCTGGATGCTACCAAAGCAGTGACATTTACGCAACGCAGCGTCATTAATGTTGCGGACCACTCGCTTATTCAAGGTAGTCGCTTTACGGGGAATGGATTATCGCTTGGTGCTCAGCTATTCCTGCTGGAGCTTCATTTTGATGCGCTTCTGCAGCAGCCCGTCCGTGGGAAAATGCAATGCAAGATAAGAACACAAGTGGAGATTCAGTTGTCTAAGGCCCAAAACCTTTTGTTTTCGTTTGGTTGGCTAGAGAACTCTGAGGATGCTTTATGTCGTCCAACAGGAGATGAATTTCTGCGCTTGTTTTGGCTCATGGCGCGCATGTATGAACGATGTGGGAAACATCAGATGGCTCGATACTATTTTACTAAGTGCAGAGAGAAACTTCAAGGGTTTAATGAAGACGACGACCAAAACAGTAATTGCAACTGCCGAGTTGATTTAACTAATCAAAAAGCTGACGGTGAAATTACATTGGGAATCTTGAATGAAAAAATATCAGGACTGCATTATTCTGACGTATGTGCTGAAGCTCGACGTCTTTTTGAATCTGGAGACCACGATCATGTTGTGTCGGTTTTGTTGGGGCACTTCTTTCCCTGTAAGCAAGTGCCACGGATGAGAGACTTCCTGAACGAGTTTGAGGTTGACGAAGATGAACGTTCGGGGCGTGGCGAAAGCACTAATTTTTTTGAAATGGTGCTACATTCACTTGGACAGAGTTCAAAATTTTCGGACGAAGACACGACCTTGTTCTTGTTGACGACTCTATACTATGTGATTGATTTTCTGGATGGCTTGGCTGTAGAGAAAGAGCCTACTTCAAGTGAAAACTCGCCCGATGAAGCGTGTACAAATGCTCTTGCCGCATTGATCTTCTTGCTAGGCCGGCTCACGCAAAAACAGTCTGAACATCTTACAAACCCTGACCACAGATTGATGCTGCGTGGTTTGTGCGTGAAATGCTTACAGCCATCAATTTTGTTTTGCTTTGACTCTCCAAACAATGTTCTATCAATGATACGTGTTGTGTTAAAAACTGATAACGACAACACCCATGGATTATGTGATGGCGGTGACAGCTCGCAGCGAATGATCGGAGTGGATGCGATGGCTCGACTATTGTACATTATTCGGTCCCTGCCGGGTGAGGAGTACCGAAAGCTGTTTACATTGGTGCCTCATGCGGCTAAGAAAAAACCACCGCGTCGTGATCGTATTCGAGTGATAATTGTAGAGCTCTTGCGTTTTTTGAATCGAGCCTTTCGCGATCACGGCGAGGATGCTCTGTCATATCCGCTGCCGAAACGGTTTGCTTTAATGGCATTGTGCAGCATCTTGGTGAAAGAGGAGGAAGAGATTGTAGCGCAGAGTGATGGCAAGACACCAAGACAGCTATTTGGCAATGGGGCCGTCTTATTCTTGCAGTTGTGTGCAAGTAGTCCTCTACCGGACCCGAGTACAATGCCGATTCGATTGGTCGAGTTGATAAATCTTCTTCACCACAGACTTGGGAAATATGGTATTTGCGGCTTGACGTACTTTTCTGACACTAGTTCTGCTGCCGATTCACGCAAAATCTCGTGCTTTCTCGAAGCAAGTACGGTGTTATTGAGCAAGTATGTGCAAAAGGAAAGCATTTGGGACGAAGAAAAACCTATGAAAAAATCGGATGAGGAGAATTATAAAGAAGCTGATAAGGAAGAGGGCGCGAAAGAAGGCAAGTACCTCTTCCAGATGGAGGTTTGCCAATGCTATCGCTGTTTATACGACGTGCAAATTCTGCCTGGATGCGAAGATCACAAAACAGGGGCCACTTTTGCTTCACTCCAAGATGGTAAAGTATCTACTAATTATGAGGATGCAATGCGGTTGATTCGCTTTGCTGTGCCGATACTTTTGACCACAAAGGCCAAAAACAACAGCCAAAAGAAAGAACGACTTAAGTTACTATATGCAGTCCGAGATGCACTCTCAGGCTCCAGTTTTTTTGCTCTCTCTGCGCAACCGGCTGCAGTTTCTCCTTTATTAGAAGCGTACTTGGCTCCGAGAGGTCTGCTGCAGGAGAAAATTGCACTGCCGTTGCCATTGGATGCTAATGACACGACGACAGAATCACCAGATAAAGTTTGCTTGGGTCATATGTGGTATTTGATGGGTGCAAACTACATTCTTGGGCGAGCAAAACGGCGAGGAAACCTGGTGGAGCTAATGGAATTGGAGCAGCATATTCGAGAGCGAGTGCAGTTTCTGATGAAAGATGTCTTGTACTATCATCCAGACCGAGTTGACTCCTGGGTGCGCTTGGGAAAGACGATGAAGGAACTATATCACGCTGCTACAGATGCGTTTGCTGCTGTGCTCGGACGGAAGCTCAGAGTTCGAGCATTCCAGTGGTATACAACCAAGATACTTGCCATGAACACAGAGCGTTCACGGGAAGAACAAGCTTATAGTAATCTTGACGTGTTTTCATTCCAAAATGTCGTTTTGGAGTGGAACCTATTCAAGAAAATGAAAGAGTGGCAAGGTAAAATTGTCGACGAAAACAAAGTGGGTAGCAAGGCCTCGAAGCTGAAGGGTTGTAACGACGAAACGGAAGGAAACGATGCCCGATTCGAAACGCTTCGTAGCCAAGTTTCCATCGAAGAGTATGCCACGATATATATCGCTCAAGTAATTGAGTTTACACGACGATGCTTTGATATGGCTGCGCAGTTGGCCGAAGAGGCTATTAAGAAACACAATTTGAAACGACAAGGTAAGCGTGACAACGCTGACAAAAGTGTCGACAAGGAAGCAAATACTTTTGACAAAGAGCTGGATGATTTACAGAACAAGATTATTGAGTGCAACGAAGAGTGTGGTTTGTTGCTGTATAATGTTTTGCAAGAGTTTAGTTTGATGAAGGAGACAAACCTTGCCTTGTTTCCGCACGAGATGTACTCGCGTTTAATAAACGATACGCTAGCATACTTCCGACGAGGGTGGACAGTTTGCGAGTCCAAGGAAGATGCTCATGAAGCCCACTTTCGTCTGCAATACATGATTGGCAAAACTTTGAGGAAAAGGCGTTGGTGCGAACTTCGTAAACACGAACGGTCTGATCCAGAGGCGCTATCAACGGCAAAAGAAATTGCAGACAGCTTTTCTAAAGCGGAGTCAGCTCGTAACGAGGGAGACAGAGAACACGCTCTTGTTCATGCCTTTTATGCTCTGCAGGCGTTGCGAATTAAGCTCACAATCAGCGATTCGTCATCAGTGTCGGCGCTGCGCTTGGTTTGTCGTCATTTCTACGAAGAGGAGAAACAAGCAGACGGTGGAAAAGGTGATGATGATGAGAATTTCGAATTTGTGTCAACCAAAGAAGTCGACGGACAGAAGAATGCTCAGAAAGATGACGATGGAATATGCGCTAGCCTGAAAAGTGATGCGGTCCGTAAATGTGTCAGTGCTGCCAAGAAGGACGACATTCTCGCACTGTTGGCGGCTGCTGACCGAAATGACTCGATTCGTGAATTGAATGTCACTCTTGCACGAGGATGGCTTGCACTGAACATTATTATGGCACTGGAGTCAATTCCAGACGAAGACCGGTACTTCCATCCATCGCGCTACGTACTGGCGCGAATTGTGTATTGGTTGTCGACGTTCTACTCCACACTGGAGCAGAGCGGGTATACTTGTGACAGTGTAATGGCTCTCGTGGATGCTGTGCGAGCTCATCGAGGTGAAGAACAGTTGCAAGGTCCTTCTGTCGCAGCAGCAAGGGCACTAAAGAAAATGGCTCCAATTTTCGACAAACGGCGGCCTCAGATTGTGGCAATCTGGTTTTCCGAGTACATTCCGCCAGCTAAGAGGTATGAAGAGTTGAATCAGCGACAAATGAAGTATGATTACTATCGGCTGAAGTACTGGCGGTTTTACATTGCGCTGCTTCAGGAGAATGCAGCGTACGGAAAGTTAAAGGAGGCAGGATCCTGGGTGCTAGCTTGCAAGGAAGACCACGATGTGATTAATATCATGCTTAGTATCGTGCTTCGTGCGCGTGGGAAGGTGCTCGCGTCCCAGTTTCAAGAGATGTTGGACACTTTGGAAGGCGCTGGAGGGATTGGAGGATCAGGAGACGATGCGAGTACGCAGACGCAACTGCATGGAGAGAGTCGATCAGTCGATGGACTTTTCAAGCAGTTGGCCAGGACTTACACATACTATCTGGAAGTGTTTCATGCTCAGCACCGACTGACACACGCAATCGACGACTACAACTTGTTGCTGGAGAACGCCGAGCTTCCGATGGTGGCAGTTTTCTTGGTAGGGGTAACAAAATACCCTTCCGAGATGATGGTGCTGGAGAAAGATGCAGCCATCTTAGACGGAGTTTTCCACGCCAACGTTACTGTCATCAAGGAAGCTCTCCGTCGGGACGACTTGCGTCCCGGTATTTACGACGCACAAGGTCAAGATGCGTGGAAGGCCTACACGTGCGCTGCACACTCGTTCTGTGAAGAAAAGTGGCCTGAACGTTCAGGCAAGGAGGGGAAACTTTTCAAAAAGTCATCGCGGCCAAAAGCTGCTAATGCTGCTGCTGCAGTTACTTGTGTTCTTACCAACACCACTGATATACGTCAATCAACAACGAATGGATGAGTTGATTGGAAAAAAGGGCAAATGCATGCATGCACACTGCTAGTGGATTATTTCAATGGATCAATCTCACTTTTCTTCTTAGCTATAAACTGGTTTAGTTCATGATCAAGCAACATGCACCTCACATACAATGAACATAATCTGAATTGCTTATAGAGGTAGCTTTGCTCTTCAAGTCAAATCTCGAGGTCCCATGTCTTCAGCCCTGCGTAAAAGTATTCGAGTGTAGCCGTCCAAACTAAAATGGAAGACTTTCCATTCAAGAGAAGAAGGTGATTCAAAATTTCAAGCTGAAAGTGCAAGAAGTTGTTTGAACAGTGAGATATTAAACCGGTTGGATCGTTAGGATTAGATTTGCTAGCGTTTGACGACACATCCTAAACTAAATTTTCGTGGGGTACGACAGAGCGATCATAGGATAGACGATGGTCGTTCTGTTGTACGATCCAGTTCATGTTGCCATTTGACGACATGACCCGAGGATAGTGAAGTTTGCAGATGAATTGTCTCTTACAAGAGGCGGTCGTATACCCGGTCTTTACAGAGGGGCTCTTTGTACAGACATACGCTGTCCGTGCTGTTTGCAAACTCAAGGAATGAACCTTGATACATGTACAAACGAAAAGTTTATTACTATATGGCAGTGACAGAAATGTCCGATAGGAATAACTTGATAGACATTAAATATGAAGCCACAAAGAATAATATTTGTTTTCATTTACTGTGGGGACCACGACATGATTGACCAAAAGTACGTCACACTTGTTGCGGATTCTGTAAGGGATCAAATGCATATTGAATTGATATTCAGGAATCTGCATGCAGTGTCGTACAGGGAAAAATTCTAGCCACAGTTGAAGAAAAAGATCAGACACCATCTTTGCCACAACAAAAAGGCAGACATCAAGTAGGCTAGAAAGACAAGTAAGAAGACAGTACAAAGGCTATCACATGGACAAGGCGTGAGTAGAACCGTTGGACCAAACCTGATCACATGCAAGGAGCAAGTGGCACCATGATAGTGAGGCCGGGTACTAAACCGGATGCCCCAGACGAGCCAAGTTGACTGATCCCTTTAACATGCAGCTCCAATTCGAAATCGGAATCTCACATCTATGGACTTCTTGCCTATTGCTGTCCGTCAAATTTACACGCTGCGGCAGCAGAGATGATAAAGGGACCTTCCATCCAAGGTAGGAGGACCGGTATGCCGACTATTTAGAGGCCATTGCTAGCCAGAATTGGGAAGTAATGTGTCGTCACCTTGTTGCGACACAAGTCGTGTGTACCACGAATGTCACCTTCCTAATGTAAATACCATATTGCTGTATGGAAAACATCCGTTTCCTGGAAACGCTCGCTAGATCGCTTACATGTCTGTACTCAGCAAAATTGACTAGGATATTGTATTGCCCACAAATAAGCGAATGGCTGTAAGTAAATCGTGCAGCCTACACACCCCGAACTAAATTTCCATGAGGTACGACAGAGAGACTATCGGATAGGCTTGCCAATCGACGACATGTCCTGAGCATAGAAACTTGCAGGTGTCATGTCTCTTACAGAAGGAAAATTTGGCCATAGTTGAAGACACCAACTGCATTCGTTAAAATTTATGCGAGTATATTACCTGCGAGTAAGAAAATAATGCTTCGATGGCAAAGGCGACTTGCGAGGAAGCAGTAAAATGTTAGACCAAGTCTACTTTGATGATCAGCTGATGTGGTATGGCACCATAAGCGATGCGAACAGCAATTAGTGCCTCCTAATACTATAACTCGATATAGCTCCTATTACCTCTGATTTTTATATAATAAAGTTAAAAAAGCCATTCTTACGACAACATTACAACGAAAATTGGCTGCCTGCACTCGGTATAGCCGCGTCTCTTATAAATTGTTTCAACGATAAATATTTGTGCAGGTAGCTGGCTTTTTCCTATTTTTTCAAGGCTGTGAAAAGGAATGACTTGATTCTGTCTGTTGGCCAAAGCTCATTTCACTTTTCATTGACAAGTACACAAGTTGTCAAAGATGCGTCTATATTGCACCATGCTGCTTGTTGCGGCAGTCGCACTCGTCAACACCAACGATCTAGTTGATGGCGCTGTTAAACAAAGGCGTTTGGGTCTAAAGGACTTGTTAAGAGGGGCATCATCGAGCACAAAGTATACTAGCTTGGAAGAACATATGCCTGGTGAAGAGGCTTTTGCGAAGCATGCTGATGAGTATGAAAGTATGAAAGATTTGGTCGAGAAGAATCAAATTGAGACTTTGAGAAGCAAAGCAAAGATTAAGTCGGACGAAGAATTATATGATCACTTTCTCAATTATTACAATCAAGATGAAAAAATATTTTTGAAGCATATTCAGGAAATTAAGAAATCTCCGGAGCCCAACATCGTCAAAATATTTAGAAAAATCTTTTTTATAAAGTGGCAAAAGCTTGGACTAGGACCAGCTGACGTCGAAGCTATCGCTGGTGATTATTGGGCTTTTCTATATCGTAGAGATATGAAGTAAAGCGAAGACTCAACGACAAAGACCAAGAAGAGAAGAGGGATGTAGCTGAGATTTGTTTACAAAACTAATACATTTAGCTTTAAGTGTTGAGTTTCTTTTTATTGTAAGTTGCCTTGCATCACTATATTCAGTGGGCCAACCGGTACATTTAGATTTCTCTATAGGCCTGTCGCTTGATAGAGGTACGTATCATCATGTTTAGACGCCGCAGAATGTTCGCTTATCGATAAGGTTACCGGGTCTGATCTTGCTCCTAGAACAGTGTAAAGTCTGAGCTCGTGTCAGGCGGGTAATTAGTAATCCAGCGGACTCCATCGGGCTATTCCAGCTTCAAAAAGCTTGCGCTTGATTAACTTGATAACGCTATTGCTGTTTGTCGGATGTCATGAAGATTTTAAGGGAATCTGTCACTGACCGATTCTCGACGAGGTGATGCGTCTCAATGCCCGCCTTGTATAATTTATAGCTTCATCTAAGTGCGACCTTCGCAAAGCATTAGCTATTTTGATGTCCTCGTCAGTGATAAGTCCTGTGGAAATGCGTGCTGGACGTGTACGCAATGTGGTGACGAAATACGTCGGTGAAAGACTCGGCGATACTTCACCAATAATTGCTGGATGATACTACGAAGTAGGCCGCGCAAGCTGCGAGTGTAAATCACAAGTTCCACAATCATCAGGAAGAGATAACCTAGGGCAGTCTGGGTGAGGCTTGCGTATGACACCGTCGTTTAAGACAATGTATCTCAGCAACCGTGGTCGAGTAACACCGAGGCAGCCGTGAATGCTGACGATGTTCCTGTCAGTGCCATAAAGCGGTTACAAAACCACACGTACATGGATCCAACAGTCCACACGAACAATACAATGTTGTTCAGCAAATTGTATACGTCGTCATCCACCACTGCGCACACGAAGAAGCTAAAGATAGACGGCACCACTATTCCAGCCATCAAGCCTCCGACGCGGTTCACCGTCTTTCCATAGGTAAAGCCAATATTATCTCGGCAACCATTGCGATGGCTGTAGGCGCAGTACAATTGTAAGCGAAGATGATAGTTGAGCAGCAAATTCCAATTATGATTGCCAATGTTGTCCGAAACTTGAAGATAATAAGACGGCGCGGGTAGTTGTTAGCGTGCAGCAAACCTTGGTATGCTAGTTAAGAATTTTCTTGACTTGGTACCGCGCCGATTAATTATTTCCACTGAAAGTACCTTCAACGCAATGAGATCACAAATACGTGAAGATGAAAACACGAACACGTTTAGCGGCATCGTTTGACCACATCATGTGTTGTGTGGACACCGGCTTAGAATAAGTTGCCGTAGAATATCGTGTACTTTTCCATAGGCTGTTCTATTGCCCTCTTTAGACTGGCGAATTTTGATGAGGACATACCTGGCCAACACCAAACCAAACAAAAAAGATGTTAGCTCACAAGAGACGACAACAGCAAAAGCAGGTACTTACTTCGCGACGGATGTGCGATCTCAAGCGAGATGTCCTCAAGCAAATCGTTCGCTTCAATTTACAGCACGTATAATTGCGTCTGCAACTTCTTGAGCAGTACAACATGCGTCCAATGGCATTCCTCGCCTCAATGGCAATGATTATTGAGCGCAAGTCTGCTAGAAGATTTGTGTACAGATTTACAAGCTGCTTGGCCACAGTCTTGTTAAAGTGAAAGGGGCAAGCGCCAAGCCCAACAAGCTCTTCCCACCAGCATTCACTCAACAGTGACTCCACAATTGCAAGACGCTTATGTGCATTCTCGAGCAGCCGATCAAGTCTCAGCTAGACAAATTCCTCTTTCTTGATATCCTTGGCGCGGAAGCAATACGAATCGGCTATCAGATTTAAAATACCACGAATATCATGCGGCAACGTAGCCGTATGCCTCCGCAATTCCGCATCGCACTAACATGGCAATGGTAAGCACTCGTCGTAACTCAAGCAGTGATGGATGTGTTAGAAGCTATTGTTGTTGATAGGCCGTGAAGGTCAAGGGCAATACCCTGTTACGCGGTAAGTAACAACCGTACCTGATTGACTAAACAGATTTGACGTGCTGACAGATGGGACGAGGCGATGATATCGCCACGTCGGACCATCAGGATGTTGCGACATATGGGACGAGGCGACGAGATTACCACATCGTCTTGTCGATGTCGTAACAGATGGGACGGAGCGGGATAGACGTGAACTATAGATGGTATAGTTGCAGTCGGTTTCGCATGCATGTGTAGGTATTAACGAACGAGGAAAGTTAATGCTTAATATATTTTACTTTTACTTCTACCTCTTCGTGCACAAGTGCACCACTACTTCACTTCAATCTAACAGGTTATGAGCCCAACGGAACGTGTTGTGGGCAAGCCCAAACAGGCTATGCCTAACGTGGCAGTCGGCGACCCTAATCGGGTTAACGACGACCACCTCGAAGAAAAAGTCGGCAGTGCCTGATGCGGCACTGGGCAAGGTGCTTGCCATGCTCGGAGACCTATCTGATCGGCTGAATCGGATGGAGGTCTCCCAGAAGGAGCATGCCGGTGGACACCGGAAGGACTCTGCGGAGTCAAGCGTCTTTGGTTCGGCTCTGGGAGCGGGTGGAGGGATGAACATCCAGGCTTTGGAACTTACCCCTCCCCGGAAGAGGTCACCGAACGACGTGTCGCCGGCTACGTACTTTGGAGCCAGACGACACTACGAAGCTGATGATGCAAATCATCGAGCAGGCCATGTTGAAGCAGACCGCAACATGGGACAAGCGCCGGAACCTGCACATTTTATGGCGGGGATATTAGGCTATTACCCCGGCGCGGGTATGCCGAACGTGATGCATGCCAACCTAAGACAACAGGTTGTGGGGATGCCAGACGCGCAACATCGGAAGCTTGCACTACAAGCTTTTGATGGGAAGGAACTATACCATGGCCTTGGTAGTGGTTTCCTCGGATGGGGCAAGGAATTTGTGCGTCAGACTGGTTTTGCCGAGCGTGCGTGTGGATTCACGTGGCCGGAAGACATCAAGGTGGATGTCTTAGGACAACACCTGGCCGGTAAGGCACAGACGTACTATCGTCGTCAAGTGGAGACTTGGTGGTGTGAAAGTCAAACCCTGGAGCATGCTATGCAAAGGCTGCTTCAGACCTTTAGCACTAAAATCACGCCTGCCCAAAGCATGAAATTGTTTACGGCTCCCAAGGCACCTCACAGAAGTTGGACGGACCATTTCCTGTACCTGACGGCAGTCAGTGATGCTTGCGGAGGGGCAGATACCCTGGTGTTGGATAACATCGTCCATATGCAGACCCGCATATGCGAATGACCATGATGTCCAGGCTGGACATTCATCGAACCGACTGCTTGCGCCAAGCCGAGGAATTGGCAAAGTTTGCCCAGTCAACGGAGATTGACAACCACGCGAAGCATCTCGGACGTGACGTGGTCAATGCTGTTGAGCCAAGAAAGGAGTCAAGAGACAAGGTCAAGCACAAGGTACTGAAAGAATCAAATGACAATGACCAACGAACGTGCTACAGATGCGGCGAGGTGGGACATATCAAGTCGATGTGCCCAAGAGACAGATGTCCAAAGTCCCAAGACCAAGTTTCACATTTGCGATCGACAATGGTGATCGTCTCCAAGACAATCACTGGATCCTCGACAGTGGGTCGAGCAGACACCTTGTCAACGACTTGTCTCTGCTCGTCAACCCGAGCGACCGTCGAAACGAATGCTTGACAGCTGCAACAGATGGAGGTGTGCTCCGGATTACCAAGCAAGGGAGTGTCAACATTGAAGTTATTGCACTCGGGGTTGTGAATTCCATTCAACTTCTCGATGTACAGTACGCCGCGAACCTCGAGCGAAACATCATCTCGTATGGTAAGCTCGAGGCTAAGGGATGTGTACTTGAGTACCGAGGAGAGAGACGTGTGTTAACCTCTGGTTTTGGAGGTGCACCGGTTATGGATGTGGAGTGCAATAACAATGTGCTAGTTGTTGCAGTGATAGGATTATGCAACAAGACCTCACATTTACCACCAAGGGAGATGACGGCTGCGATCAATTCACCTGAATATAACTCCGATTCGGATGTTCAGAGTGGTACCTTGATGCAATTCCATCGTCGCTTGGGTCTGTTACGAAACGATCATCAAGATGGCCAAAGACCCGGCATCTGGTATCAGGCTGACTGACACGAGGCGCATGAATTGCTTGGCCTGTGCACAAGGCAAGCAAACCAAAGCATCACAGTCACGAAAAGACTCAGGCCAAAATTCTCCCATCGATGTGATCGGTGGAGTAATTTGCTCCGACCTCAAGGGCCCAATGACTCCAAGGGATCGTCTGGGTAACCGTTACCTGGTCAATTTCATTGACTACAGGTCAAATTATTGCCGTGTATTCTTGGCCAGATCCAAGGATGTTGCTGCCCTCAAGTTTAAGCACTTTCTGATGAGCTTTGAACGAGAGTTCAATTGCAATATCCACGTACTACGCACGGACGGAGGTGGCGAATACAAGACCTTGGACGTGTTTTTTAAGACGAATGGAGTCTCGCGTCAAGTCAGTGAAGCCAGAAATCAGGCAAGTAACGGCAAAGCTGAACGGATGCATCGGACAATTATGAATATGGTCCGAAGCATGGTGTTTGCTTCACACCTGCCTTTGCTTTTCTGTGGCGACGCTGCTGAGTATGCAACTTACATTCTCAACAGAAGCAGGACCAAGTCGAATCCAGGTGGGGTGTCTCCGATGGAATTTTTGACCACGAAGGTGCCAAACTTGAACGACATCGTGGCGTTCGGCTCCACGTGCACGGTGCACGTGGATGCAAGGAACAAATCACTTGGAGAGCGAGGGAAGGCGGCCATCATAATTGGAAAGAGTGATGAGACTAAGGGGTACAAAGTGTACATCCCCAAGGACAAGGTGGTCGTGGTAACGCAGCACGTACGCAACATCGAAACACTGTCGGATGGGCGTAACGGT